AATGTCGTATGCATGACTTGGAATCTGTTAATTTGGCTATACGTTTGTAAAATGTTTGTGTAATATTGTTTGATTGCTTGTTTGTTTGTTTATTAAGGTTAATCTCACTATTGATCACTTCATAGTCCTTTTTCAGTACATTTGATGATGGACCATATAAGAGATATAGTCTTCTCCTTTTCTTAAATTTCTCCTTATTTGACTCAAGGTTCAAACTTGAGATCTCCAAGTTAGAATCTTAGACTTTTAACTAGTTAAGTCACCTCTTGGAGGCATCACTCCACAGTCCTAACCCCACATAGTAAGGACATTGTGTGGGAGTGTTATTCACAAACTTTGTTAATATATAGGAGTGGATATAAGGCAATAATAGAACTGCAGGCATTCTTGTATGACTAATTGAAAACATAGAATATATAGAATACATAACTGGATGGTTTCCTTAAAGTGGTGTTAAGCAATTGAAAACTTAGAATAAGATGAAAAGATCCATGCATTTAGTTGAATTTTTAAGTAATGCTTCAATTGTAGACAGAAGACAAAAGCTTTTTATTGAAGAAATTGAAGAAAGCAAGTGGTGGAAATTAACTACCTGATCTTTAACAGGAGCAATGCATTCACCAGTATGAGGTACATAAAAATGGGCCCCCTTTTCAATTTACAGCCAAATAAGCTTTTTACAACTAGGAGTAGTTCAAGTGTCTCTGCTTCTTATTGCATGTAGCAGGAACCTGGTTTAAAAGGAGCAACTCGGCCTGGTCCAGATAATGAAGCAGCAGCAACTCCTCTTTGATTCAATAAACATCTGAAATTAGCTAACCTTCCAGTAACTTGACTTGGATCCTCAGCAAGTTTGTCATAAGGTGTCCACAGCCGCTCTTCAGATAAAATGCACAAGAGGGGAAATGAATAAGATTGTTAGCCAGGGAAAAATCCACATCAACACAACAATTCCTCCAATAAGCCAAAAGAAAACACACAAAAAACAAATTCCATAACAAGTGACCAGATCAAACCACTTTTAAAAATACCATATTTTGCCAGCAATGCAACGAGTTGTTTAGGTGGATGTCTTGCATTCCTCCATCATGGTCTAGTTAAGATATCTTCTTTTACATCTACAAGCCTTAACAAACTAGTCTTCGTTCTCTAGTGCACGCTCATATCTTATAACTTTGGCATTATTAGTACAGGTGCCAGAACAAGGAGCAAATTTTGTGTTAAATGTTCTCGATTATAAAGCTCAAATGCAAGCTCTAAGTTATTTGCTACCTGGATTAACTCCCTAGGAATGAAGCCAAGAGTTGAATGAAAAATCAAAAGCATAGATTTTGTTAAGAATAGAGTGCCAACAATAAAGTATTAAGGTAACAGAATGTTAACTTAGTAGACAATGAGTACCTGCAGCTGCTGCAGCACGTGGCCATATGGTTTGTTCTACGTCTGACCCATCAATGTGTTCAC